CTGGCTTCAGCTATGCAATTGACATAGCTGAGGTGGTGTATCTTTAATTTGACTTTGGCCCTGCTGGGCAGACATGCCCTTACTCCTTGGCTAGTCTACACTACCAGGCTTTTGCGGAACACCAGCTCGCCTCCAACTGCCAAGCGTCCACACCTCAAATGAGCTCTTGCACAATTAAATGGGCAGCTAAACTGCAGAACAGAGGGCTTTTTCCGCCACAGGTAAACCTCCTTTTCTGAGGCATAACTGCTTTTAGCACTATAGCTATTGTGCAAGAAAGCAAGTGTGGATACTCCAGACTTCTTGCACAAGAAACCCCTATTGGAAAAAGCACAGGTGCTCTGATGGCCATTCTGTGACTGGCCATCAGAGCTTTCTTGCACAAGAGCATCCATGCAGTGTGGACGTGCTCTTGCGCAAGAAGTTTTTGAGCAAAAACTCTTGCACAAAAAGCTTCTTGCACAAGAAACATGTAGTGTAGACGTAGCCCTTGTGAAATGAGGCTTACCATGAGTTGGAGTAAGAAGTGCTTCGGCTGGACATTATTCCAAAATAAAAGCTTGTAGTGTAGATGTGCCCAAAGCCCTGGTCTACACTAGGGAGTAGTTTGGAAATAATTTCCTAGTGTAGGCATGCCCTAAGGTGATACAAGTCCACATTTTTGTTTTTTTTTAACTTTTTTTTAAAGTTACAGATTAACACAGCTACCCCTCTGGGACTTTCAGACCCATGGAATTAGGGTATGTCTAGACTGCAGGGTTTTTCCGGGATACCTCCAGCAAAATGATAAATGAATAAAGGGGTCAAGAAGACTCTAGTGTTAGAACAACGAGGTGTCCTGCGAGACCACCTTGGTTTTGCAGGTACAGATGGTGTCCTGGAAAACTCTGCCACATCCAGGGAACGGTTTAGTCCTCTGCTTTTTTTTGTGGAAGAACAAACATGCTTTTTTGGAAGCCCTGTCTTCCTCAAGGGATCTTCAGAAAGAGAGGGATTTTCTGAAATTTGGTCCAGTGTAGATGGGCCAAATTTTGGAAAAGCCTCTTCTGAAAAAAAAAACCGGAAAAAGGTTTGCAAAATGTGTGCCTTAAAAAAAAAGTGTAGTGTAGATCTAGCCTGATTTGGAGATCAATGAGAGTTATAGGGAGGGTGAAAATAGGCCCTAAGTTTTTGGGTGGCTTCCCACATGCTATGATTGGCTTAGGAAAACTGTATTGGTTATTAATGATGTCTCTTAGGGTATGTCTACACAGCATGCTTATTCTGAATTAAGCTATTCTGGAAGAAATTCTCCAAAATAGCTTATTTCAAAATAGCAGGTCTTCACTATCAGGAAGCCTCAAAATTAGTCTGAGGCAGCCTTCCATAATATGGACCTCCAGTTAGACCGCCCAGGAGGCACTGGGGAGTAATTAGTTTGAATGGCCCTAGGTGAGTTGCTATTTTGAAATAGCAACAGTGGAGAGTCCAGTCTCCAGCTGTTTTGAAATAGCTGTTTCGGAATAGGCGTTATTCCTGTGGAATGAGGTTTACAGACGTCGGAATAAGCCATCCGTTATTTCGAAATTCTTTCAAAATAACGAATTGTGTAGACGCTGGCATTGTTATTTTGGAATTAGGGCCCTTACTCCGAAATAAGGCTGCTGTGTAGATGCACCCTCACCTCATGGACTCGCATTCTGAATCCTGTTCTGTCCCATAGCCCTCCACGCGCTGTCTTTAACCCCTTCTTGCCAAGGTGGGGTTGCTAAAGCTGGCTCCCTTGCCTGGTTGGTCTCCAGGGAAATCAGCGGCTCTCCGGGGAAGCTTGTCTTTTCCCTCACATATTTCCTCCATGAACTCACTTGTGGTGCGTTTCGCGTTTTTTCCCCCGTCTAGGGAGACGCTACAATTCCTATGGTCATGCCGGAAAGCGGCGATGGGTTGTAACACGGATGCTGGGCCCCCCCCTCCTTTTTCCCCCTCCCCCTTTCTTGAGTTGCATTTTCCCCCAAACCTCCACCACTGAATCTGCTTTTCCTACGTGTCATTGAGGCTTTAAAGGTGGTTCTGCGAGAGCAAGTGTCTCGCCCCCTCCCCTCCCCCCCGTCTGGTCAGGTTATTACAGAGATAGGATGCCAAAGCACCCCGCAACTAGTTCCCCCTCCTGTCAACACCTTCTGGGCTGGGATATTTACAAGTGAACAAAATGCCCCCTCCTCCCTCCGTCTGGAACCCAGCCCTATCAGACTCCCCCCTCCTACCTTATGTAAACGTTTAGGGATCAATTTGCACTGGGCTAACGCAAGGAGTTAGGCGAGCGAGGCAGCAGGATCGCCTCCAGAAAGCGAAGGGGGGGGGGGGGAGAGGAGGGGCAGGGCTTCTCCCACTGCAACCCCTGGTGTTAATGAAAAGCAGGGGCAGCGGAGAAAAGGACGCGCGCGCCTGTCTCTGCCCTCTCCATGGGTGGTCTGCGCTCGGATAAACACATGGGCCTCTTAGCAAAGCAGCACCCAACTGCAACCGTCTTCTTACAACAATCCTACCTATATACATTTCCATCCTCGGGTTACAGGCTGCCTTGTCGCCGAGTCGAGTTCACTTAAGCAATTAGCTAGTAAAAATACCTTCAGCGCAGGAAAAGGAAGAAAGCTCAGATTTGTCTATTTTTACACAAAACATCGCAGATGGGTTTTTTTTAATGTCTTTGGGAAATTAATTTTAAGACAAAAGGGTTATTTAAAAAAAAAATAGAAAAATGACAGGCCCCCACTGGAATGATTTTTAGCCTGGTGGGAAATCTGCCTCCAAATTTTTTTGAAAAGACGAAAATTGTTCCAAATGATACTCCCTCCCCACCCCCTGCATCTAGTTTATTTTCCTGGCGGGGCCAGAAATAAGGAGGGGGCGATCTTGCCTTTTTAGTATGTTTTATACAAGAAAATAGCTTCCTACATGAATCGCCAGCCTGATATTTTTCTACAGCAAGAATTCAAAACTAAGAAACCTTTATATCCCATTGTCCCTTAAAAAGCCGGGTTTGGCCGTATTTTGAACAATGTTTGACTCTTTATAGCCAGCAAACCACTGAAGCTAACAAGTTCCTAACAATTTGGTCCTTTCAGTCTGTAACAATAGTGACTTTCTGAGGGCTAATTTACTGTAAAATAAAATCCCTCTGCTACATACAACAAATCACGTATTGGCCTTCACTCCCAAAATCTGTTATTTACTAAATACACCGGCTAGATTCCCACATAAAACGATGTAATATTTCTCCTTTTCCCACAGCTAGGCCTATGAAATACGGAATAGATTACAATATTTTTTTTAAAGTACGTTTACTAGATAAATGCATTGGAAACAAAATTTTTACACTCCCAAAAGTCACTGCGGGAAACAAAGTAATTAAACCAAAGATTATTTTATTTTAAAGAAAAATTGTTTCGTTAAAACCATCGAAGGATCATGTTTGCTCCCGCTAATTATTTTTTTCTGATACAGTAATCAAGATGCTTCCTCTTGTAAATTACCACCATCATTTTAAGTTGAACTGCAATACAATCAGTAAAGCCAGAATGTCATTGTTAATGTCTCCTGATTAGCGTTCCAGAAGCAATTTCAAAATATGTTGCATTCCTTTTTAGAATTCCGGAATGGACATGTATAATCCGGGCTCTGCATTGTTTAATTTCGGACTTAATTCTTTATACGTCTTTCATGCAAAGAGGGAAGGGGAAGGATTAAAACGCCTACCCTGCGATTTCATATTTTAAAGGAATCAAGACATCATAATTTGAGCTATTGCACAATAGCTGCAATGGAGAAAAATAGCTGAGATGCTCACAAGGAAATGAAAAGCTGCCTTAAGGACCATTATTCAGTAGCCGAAATTTGGGATATATAAGCCGTAAAGACATACGCTCGCTTATTACTGAAGAAGGGAAGAAAAATCTGATTAAAAAAAAAACAAAACCCTGAGCATAAGCACAGAATATGCTTTGTTACCCCTTCTGTTCTGTACCTTTTCAGGTATAGAATGGTATTTTAAACCATGTGTCTTCCAGCTCTGAGATGGAGAAGGGGGGGCGGGGAGAGAGGGGAATTGTCCTACTCTGATCAATACCAGCTTTTGGGAACGTTTCTGTAGCTGGGGGAGTGGAGGAAGGCCATATAGAAACAGAGAACTTTGCAGTTACATGTGGATTATCCTGCAATCCAGGCCCTGAACCAAATCTGTTTACGAAACAGTTTTCTTTCTCGCTTGCAGCTCAGGTCATTTTCTCAGCTGTGAAATGCCAGCCTCTGTAGTGCCTACTTTTCAGCGACGCGTCACTTGTATTTTGTTGTTGTTAGTGTGTCGCAAGGGCCAGGTACACACAACTATAGACCCCTGCGCCCTCACTGAGCTGCAGAAATGCGGGCGTTTCCTGTGGAAACATACGTTCTGTTACCCCTGCAAACTCCGGCGCTAGCTTCTGAATTTTGCAAGGGGAAAAGAGGAGGAAAAAAAAAATCCTGATGTTAAATCCCTGTTGGCGGTATCATAGATGTGTCAGGCGCCCCAGAGGCTAGTAACGACTGGCTGCAAATAACGTTAACAGCGATTTTGGAAACCCGATCCGTATCTATCTTTCCTTTAAAAGGTATTAAATTATCATAAAACCCCTTAAAAGCGAATCTGGGCAGAAGGGGGAATGAAAGGAGGAAGGAGAGAGGGCTGAGGGTTTTGCAGCCTTACACGCGGGGTAGATACTTTGCAGAGCCGAGAACAAGCAGCAGAAGAAACTTGGATTTTTTTCCCCCCGTACTATCTGGCCTTTGCTTCTTCCCCCCACCCCCACTTGACAAGAAAGAAAACGGCCACAGCCAGCACATCTGCTCAGTTTCTAGCGCTGAACTGTGAACGCCAAACTCCTCTAGCCCCCTCCCCTCCCCCACAAGCCCCTCTTACCGCTTAATTGTGCAAAAGTTACCACGCGCGCCTGGTAAGAAGGTGACAAAAGTTTAAAGTGACTTACCTTGATGAGTGAGTGACAGCTTTACTGATGAAAAGATGGTCGGACTGAGAGGGGGAGCGGGGGGGGCTCTGATGAAGTGGAGAGTGACTCTGTGTGTGGGTGTGTGTGGCCAACCATTACTTCGAGGATCAAAATGTGGGCACCGCTTGAAAAATCAGCACCTATTTACAGCACAACAACAACAACAACAAGAATCTAAACCGACAACAAAGCAGGCAAGCGGCGCTGTTTTATAGGGTGCAGAAAGGGGCCGTATGCGAACTACCGAGGAGTTTTCTTTCTGATTTCTTTTTATTAAAGAACCCCCGAGAAGCTGTTTATATTTCGCTGTATAAACATCCTGCCCATGTTCCTGCCTATCTTCAAAAGAAATAAGAAACGGGATTTGCAAGCGGGTGAGCTTCCATCCCGTTACATTTCGCATTAGATTCGCACTCCAGGGTGAGGCGCATCCCC